CGCAAGTGGAGAACAGCACACTTAATCTTACGAGTGTTGCCTATCATCTTTTATGACGTTGCGCCATCTCTCAGGCTAGGTGCGAATCCCGCGGCAAAAGAAACTTGCAGGCTTCGAGGCAATCGAGTCATCACCGACGGATTTACGCACATCGTTTGGCACTTTGAACTGGTTGACCACTTTGGTGTGCTACTGTTTCATTAACCGGAACACGTGATTGTCGGAAGAGAAGCCAGGTCTGGTGAATGTGCCGCGCGTGTGAGAGAACTTTTCGTCCCAAGTTTAAGAGGGTCTTCTGAGGTTTTATGAGTTTTGTCATGCAGCGGCAGCAGGAGCAGCCCCCATATGCCTTGCCTGCTTCCTTGCCCAGTAAATGACTTTTCTGATCACGTTCTTTGCTCAGTTTGTTCAATTGCTAGTTGCCGTCGTCTGCCATCGCTATCTGACGACCGGTTTGCAGGAGTACACCCTTAAATTTCCCGCCTCCGTAAACACGGGAGAACCTTTATCTTCGAGTGGATGTCCTGTTTCGGCGTCTAGGTACACGTTTGCCCAGAATCTACACACGACCTCCTTATACGCTTTGCATTCCCGCAAAACAAATGTGCTTTCCATCATCCGTCACAATGTTCCAAGGGACTGTGCTCATTTGTTGACCTAGTTTGCGTTCGGTCAACATTCGTACGGCAAATCAACCCAACTTCCACGTTTTTGAATTTCTCCCACTTGGTAGTGTAAACGATTAAAAATCGTTGCCTGAGTGACTCCCAACTACGCTGCTGCAAACTCGCGATGTGTTTGCGTTGAGTCTCCGTAGAGAAGGCCGTGTTCGGTAAGCAGGTGGTCGCTAGAGAACGAAATCACCACTTCTAACGAAAGGTTTTTACCAATAATGATAAGTTTCATCAGACACAACACCGGCTGCACCAAGAACCCTGCGATTTAATTCCACTGTGCTTTAGAAGCAGCAAGTTTATCTTGATGAAAATGCCATTGAATGTGCTGTTCAACAGTTGCCATCGCCATTAACTCTGCAATTCTGAGAGGCTGTGTGACTCGTGTCGTCCTGTGTCCTGAAGCCTTACATCCGAACCTCTCAAAACCACAAAAAACGGCAATAATATTTCAATTTTAACGATTTTTTATTTCATTTTTGCCTTCCAGCAATCCTGCTTCTATCACACCCCTCGTTGGCCGTAGCCTTTCTGCACGGTATTAAGGCGATTCCGGAGGTGGTGGCAGGCCGTGTGGCGGTGATCCACTTCGACCCCTCGGACGCCATCGCCTACGACGTCTTGCGTTCCTGGCGCCTCGAGCTGTCGACCTCGCGGGACCTCGGGGCCGCCGGCCAGTGCCTGCTCATCGTCACGACGCTGCCCTATGGCACGGGGTTCAATGTCTCCTCGCCGCTGCTTCAGAGTGTACGTCAATCGAAATGACGCTTTTTTTCTGAGCATAAAAGTCGATTTAGAGATTTGCTTGTTGAGGATGAAAGACAAAATCAGTAATTGGAAAACTGGCATGCATTCCGGGCGGGGAATGGATCGGGTACACAAAAACGACGCAGAAACACTCGCAAACAGGGGCATTTAAAAAGAATTCAGGCTGGTGTTGATGTGTCGCTTTCAATTGGCAGAGGATACAGCAAAGCCTCTCAACGGAAACTTTCATCTCATTGCGCCCTGACTAAAGTAGTCACAATTGTTCCGAAAGTCAGCGATTAGGCATGTCATTTTTGCAACAATGAGTTTGAAAAAAAGGTTTTATCGGCCACCACATTATCAGCATTTTTTAAAGCATTTTAACTGGCCCACCACTCTAACCACGCAAATACTCTGGCTTCAACCTCAGTAGCTTAAACGGATTGAGTTATATAACAAACAACAAGAAGAAGAAGAAAATTAGTAGAATATTGATTCCTGCGGCTGCTGCATGCTCACTCTGCCTCATCGATTGACTGATTTTTATAGTTAGATGCGTGGATAATAGCATTGCACTTTGATTGGCCACCACATTATCAGCATTTTTTTAAAAAATCTTAACTGGCCAACCAGCCTGACCACACAAGGACCCGACCTTCAGCCACTGAGAAGAAAAAAGAAGAGTAAGAAGAAAATCGATAGAATATTGATTCCTGAAGATCCTGTATGCAGAAATGATTTTGTTTTAACGGATAAGTCTTACATTTTGAGTGAAAACTATTTCTTTGGGGGCTTTTCAGCGCACCATGGTCTCCTTGGCTTCGGCGGTGGCCTTGGCAGTTTCCATGGTGAAGACGATAATCGTCGAGACCAACGCCACCTGGCCACCGCTCACGGCCAATCTCTTTGCGCCGCTGCTGTCCAATCACGTGCGCGTGCCCGTGGCGCCCAGTGTGGAACTTCACTTCAGCCGGTCTGACGATGACGTCACAGATTGGAACGACATTTACGTGTTTCAAGTGAGCCACAGTGACGATGCTTCGGTTTAACCCAGGTTTACTGAGCCGCCAATTTGTAGATTAACATGAGCAATTTTTGGGAGAAAAATGCATTAACTCACACTGTAGGCGGAAGAATCAACTCTAAGCGTGTTTGACACCAAACACTGTGAATGGGCCAACTTAAAACTTATACACGGTCGCTGCTTCGAGTGTTTTACTGCAATGAAAATCACTCATTTGTGAATGAGAAGACTCATGGTTAATCATTTAGTGTCCTTACTTAAATGAATAAGTAGCAAGGAGAAAAGTGTCTGTATTTTGGTTTAGCATTTGTGGGAGGACACATCTGTAAAACTGCCACATGCCATAGTGGAATGCATCGTTCGCATTACTTGGCACTCTACAGTCATCGATTTATAAATCAGCTGCTCCACCAATCAAAATGTGGCAATAATTTCATTCTGTGTGGTGCATATCTTCGACATTCATCCTACACTGCGCACAGATGGAAAAGAGAGTCAGAAGGTTGGGATTCATGACTCGTGTTTCTCGTCACAGCTGCTCACAGAAAACGTCTACGACGAATCCTTCAGCATCACCGATGCGGCATTTGACGATGTCTTTGAAATCGCCTCCGTGATTCTCACACCCGGTGGCTACGTGACGGAGGTCGCGCCATTTCGGTGGCCAGCAAACGGTTCTGGCCCCTACGTCGACACCTGCTTTCAGATCAACTGCTTGGGCAGTAAGCTCAACACAACGCACTACTTGCGTCAATTGAGTAGAACCATTGCGTTGCAGAATATTTCCACGTTGTTTTATGCCTCTCCAATGCAAACTTGGTGTGTACATTCTGTTTGTAGAAGTGGACACAATCAAAGGACTTGTGCTCGCGTCAGAGCTCGCGGCAGCCTCCATATTGGCAATCATCATCGCCATCTTTTTCAGGTGATTGCAACTTCCCTGTAACTACTTATGATGATTTGAGTAGTGGCGAACCGCACTCCACTTGATATCCAACATGACGCCTCTGGAATTACCTGTTCATGACTGTCCTCTTAAAATACAAAAAAATCATTATAGACTAGATGGGGCGTTCTTGAGGACTCTAATAATTGCATCTTCATTCCACATTCACTGTTTATACATCGAATTATACCACTAAATTGGACGATTTCGATGAATAGCTGGTGGACAATGTTTTGTGTCTTTGTCGCATTGCAGACGCCACGAGAACTCGCTGAAGCTTCGAATGGGTTCAAATAAACTCGTTCTCTACCCCGACGACGTGATTTTTCTCAAGCCGAAGAGTGCATTTCCGTCGGGGTCCTACAACGAGGTGAGCCCTTCACGCTGCTTCACACTTGTGCTGCTGCTGTTGCTCTGACCGTCTTTGTTGGTTGTTTTTTTTTTGTTTAAAAAAATTCCATTTTTTGGCGCACAAGATGGAATCCAAGGCATGATCGATTGAGGACTTGCAAGATCTCAACGTTCGGATTTGCTTGGTTGCATTCTTTTATAGACCTCAGAAGGTCTCACATGTGCTATGCCCTTTATATACATTGACCGCCCAATCAAAACGTGCCTTGGGCTCTCAACCAATCACCTTTGACTTTCAGAACTCCGTCAGCCAGATTTTCCCCACAGGCCTCGTCGGTCCAGCCGCATATGAAATTAGTTGCGATAGCGAAATTGAAAACACCATGGAGGTCTCGACAACCTCGGAAGTTGATGTTTCAAGGAATAATGGGGCCATCGCCATTTTCAACGTATGTTCTTGCCACATTCGCTGTAATTTACTTTTACCTCTTTCTTCAAAAGCTAATGCTATGCACGTTTCTGCCAGCAAATGACTGTCCATTGCGTAACAATTTGGCCGAAGTCAGCGCAAGTAATTGGCTTTCTCGCCAACCTCCTCCCCATTTGACAGTAGCGCCGGGTACCTACTCAACACAAAACCAAATAGCAGGAATCGGTGTTCCAATTATAAATAACTCTGAAATACACTGAGAAGAATCAGCTTGGAAGTCAACTTGTCTCCTCCCTTTACCAACACGTCTCCTTTAATTTTGCACAAATTTATCGATTGGTGTAACAACACGCATCATAGCTTAGTAAACAATCGATAAA